AACAGCAGCAAAATAAAAACCACAAAAACAAAAACAAAAAAATCCAGTGCACGATAATAGATCGGCAGTTGCCTGGGGTGGGGCGGGTGGGGAAGGTGAAATGTGCTAAATTGGTGAAAAGTGTAAAAAGGTACAAATTTCCAGTTATAAAATGAATAAATCATCAGGATGTCCCGTACAGTGTGGTGACTATAGTTAATTCTGTATTGTGTATTTGGAAGTAGGTAAGGGAGTGGATCTTGAAAATTCTCATCACAAGAAAAAAAATGTGCAACTTTCTGTGGCGATGGATATTAACAGAACCTACCGTGATGATCACAGACAAATACAGAGTCATTGTGTATTTGAAACTATTGAAGCATTTGAAACTAATATGTTATGTCAATTATTCCTCTCTCTCTCTCTCTCTCTGTGTGTGTGTGTGTGTGTGTGTGTGTGTGTGTGTGTGTATCCCAAAATATACCTCTGGCATGATTATTTTGCACTGAAGTCGACTGAGAGGAAGCAGCTATAAGGAAAGCTCTGCCTTCCTCCTATTCAGCTAAAAGCCTGACATAAATTTATGAAGGGGCTTCCCCTCCGCTCTCTGCCAGGAAGGACAAAAGTCCCCCTTGTCAGCCCAGAGAAGTCACCAAAGGACTCGGCATAATAATGGACTAAGCAGCCCCGATCTTCCATTAGCTCCACCGTATATTTGTCCTCCATGATCTGCTACCCTACAAACTCAAAGTCTGAGTCTCTCCTGGGTCTGATCGCTTCTCTAGAAACGTATGGTCCCTTGGTTGAGATGCTGTCAGAGTAACTGGGAGTTTCTCACCGTGGGGTACTCCCACGGATATGCATGAGGCCCACACCAATAAACTTCTGTTTCTTTTTCTTTTGTTATGATTTCAGTTGTCAGTCAGATTTGCAGGGCTCCAGCCAATCAACCCAAAATGAGTAGAGGGACAAAGAATTTTTCCTTCCCCTAGGGAAAAAAATGACAAGCTTACCACTTGCTTCCCACACTCAAACTGGGGAGTTGAATTCTACTAAAAGTCTTTTATTTTTTTTTTAACAGATGCCTGATGACGAGCACAGTTATCAGGATGAGCACTGAACAATATGGACAATTGTTGAACCGCTATGCTGCACACCTGAAGCTAATATAACACTGTATGTTAACTCTACTGGAATTAAAATTGTCTTTTTTTTTTAAGATTTTATTTATTTATTTGACAGAGAGATCACAATTAGGCAGAGAAAGGGGGGAAGCAGGCTCCCTGCTGAGCAGAGAGCCCGACGTGGGGCTCGATTCCAGGTCCCTGAGATTATGACCTGATCCGAAGGCAGTGGCTTAACCCACTGAGCCACCCATGTGCCCCTAAAATTGTTTTTAAAAGGTACTTTGAGGCAGTCTAGGACCAAAGAAAGGGCAGGCCTGGGGTGCTCTTGCCCTGTTCTTAATTTAGTGGTTCCCATTCTTTACACTAAGGCAATGCAGAGCTGTTGGCCGAGGGCAGAAGAGAGACTGGAACATACATCACAGATGGGTCGGTTACGTTTATGTATTTGAGGGATTACTCCAGAGTGTCACAACTTCTTTGAAATCAGAGATGGGAGAGTCTCACAGAAGGGCCACCCCAGACCTTCTGCCTCAAGACACCAGACAGTAAGGTTAACCTTTTTTTTTTTTTTACCCTTTCAGAGGTAACCCCCACACACGACTACAGTTGCCCCTTACAGAAAGCAAGCTAAGTTTTCTTCTGAGCTAAAATGACCCAGGGTGCCTTGGTGGCTCAGTGGGTTAAGGCTCTGCTTTCAGCTCAGGTCATGACCTCAGGGTCCTGGGATTGAGCCCCACGTCAGGCTCTCTGCTCAGCATAGAACCTGCTTTCCCCTTTCTCTCCGCCTACTTGTGATCTCTCTCTGTGTCAAATAAATAAATAAAATCTTAAAAAAAAAAAAAAAATAAAAGGACCCACTTCTCCTCAGTGCTTACATCCATTGCTCAGGCCAGATTGTTCCAGTCCTGGGCATGGAGTAACACGCAGTGTTAGTCTAGGTGACATCTGGGGATACTGAGTATCTTTAAAACCTTGAGCAGAATCAGCACAGCTCTAGAACCCACTGCCCTGGGCCCCACGCCTCTATCTAAAGCCAGCAAACACGCCACAGTCCCCGCAGCAGAGCCCAGCGAGAGCACGCTCATACCGGCTGAGGGTCTCCAATATCAACCATGGGGGAGGAATGAGACGGAATGAGACGTCAGAACAGATACATCCACTCCGCAAACAGCATCCTGGGCCCAGCTGATACTGGAGAAGATTTAACACTTACTCCCAATACAAACCTGCCACTAGAGCTAGTCCTACTAATGACTTTACAATCCTCAGTGGTGGCCACTTTTATCTTAAGAAAAAAAAAGAAGTTGATATCAAGGGGGAATTCTGCAAGTTGAGAAACTGTTTGCCAAAATGATAGTCAACTGCCTTCTTTCTGGAAACAGTGGACTTTCCAGAGATCATGTGTTTCACATCACTGATGTTGGAGTTAGTGAACAAGTGTGCACAATCAGATGGAAGTTTCTAGAATCCACGTCCATTTGTGATGTGGATTGGCATGGCCAAAACATCTAATTCAACACTACCTTAGGTTACCTTTGGTTCAATATTAATTATGAGTTTTGAATAATTATCTGTGAGTTTCTAGGTATGTTAGGGATTTTTAGGGGTGTGTGCATACATGTGGGTTTGTGTGTGTGTGGTTGTTGGATCTGTCTTTAAATACAGTAAATTCCAAGTCGCTTTGTCCTCCATATATTTGGAAAGTGAAACACTGATTCCACTTCTGGGGATAGTCTCATAGATACTGAAGGTGTTCAAGGTAAGTCTCCCCACTTTAGCATGTGAACTCTTCTGAGCCAGAGGCAATCAAGATCCAGCAGGCTCAAAAGAAACTTTTGCCCTGCCCTAAACTACTAAGAAGAAATTAAATTAGGGGTCTCTCCCAGAATGAGTTTTTTCCAGAAATAAATTTTATCTGAGGGACCATTAGTAGAGCAGAGCACACATCTCATGGTTAAACATCTGTTCTCCTTTTCACCTGTGAATGGTCTTCTCTCCATTGAATCCTGGGTCCTACTGCATGCCTTAGTTCAGGATGGCATATGTACCTCATTTTACCTTTCTGTCCTTGAACTCTCGGGTTGGTAGGGTTCCCATATATACAAAATTAAATTTGATTTTCTTCTGTTAATCTGTCTAAGGTCAGTTTAGTTCTTAGACAAGTCAGAAGAAATGTTGAGGAGTAGAGGAAAATTTTCTTTTCCCCAGCAATACTTAAAAACAATTCAACAGGGGCGCCTGGGTGGCTCAGTTGTTAGGTGTCTGCCTTCAGCTCAAGTCATGATCCCAGGGTCCTGGGATCGAGCCCCCCCACCCCAGTGTCACTCAGTGGGAAGCCTGCTTCTCCCTCTCCCACGCCCCCTGCTTGTGCTCCCTTTCTTGCTATGTCTCTCTCTGTCAAATAAATAAAATCTTAAAAAAAAAAAAAACAATTCAACATATCTTACCTTGCCTTGACTCATTCAACTACTTGCCAAATCAACACCCCATTAACAAACAATTGTACTGTGCAGAGACATTTTTTTTAAAACATAATTATTCTCAGGACCTAGATCGAACCTGGCTACTCCAAGTGTGGTCCACCAAGTGTGGTCCGGGGACCAACAACATAAGCTTTGAGGAATGGAGATCCATAATCTTCGGCCCCACCCAGATCTACAGAACAAAAATCTGCAGTTGAAAAGATCTAGGTGATCTTTACTCACATTAAAATTTGAAAAGCCCAAGCCTCAGAGCAATGCTTTACTCCAGTGGGTGGTAAACCGATCACCTATGGGAGAGTCACCTGGGATGTTCCCCCAAAAGCTGTTTCCCGACCCTACTACAGACTGAGTGCGTGAAATGGACTGTCTGGGCTGGGAGCTCTCGACATTGCATTAAGCAAGTTCCTGTCCCTTAGTTTCCTCAAACTCCAGCAATCTAAAGTTTGAGAAACACTGGGGTAGTAATTGTCGGTTTCATATATATGATCTCTTCACCAAACTAGAATCACTGAGCAAGACACGCCTGGAATTTTAAACTAATCAACGAGTATACTGACTATAGAAAGACATGCACAGACACGCACCTGCACCAGATAGGTATTAGAAACAATTGCAAATGCAGAGAAACTGTCTTTAATACGAGGAGGAGAACCACCCAAGGAGGTTGCATTGAGCATTTGTAATGAAATGCAGAATAACCGGTTAATTGTGTTAGAGAGGAAAGGGAGTAAATTGTGCATAATAACATCATTACCCCTTACACTCTTGTATATACATTACTAGTACTCCTTTGACACATTATTACAAATTTATTTGATTCTAATAGGTTACTTTCAATACAGCGGGAAACATTTTTTGGATTGATCAGATGGGAAAAGAAAAAACTCAAAGTATCACAAATATATTCTGCATTTATCCTCTTTTATACAGGGATAATCTCTATTTATAATGGCCGCTACTGAATTTCTTTCAAATGCCAAGTTGAAAGGTGTCGCTCTGTCTGTGTGGTTCCATAAAGGAGCCGGTCTATTTTTGTATGTTTAGAAAATCCAGTTGGATACAATTTTCATTTTTCCACTGGAAGTTTGACATCGAAAACAAGACTCTATTAACTCCATTTTCAGAAGTTCCTGCAAGATCCAAATTACCCCCACAAACATCTAGACATCGTGACATAGATAGCATATTGCTCTCACCTTGGACGTGGGTAGAGTTTTAGAATTAGAAAATAATTGGCTTTAAAATTTTAAATATATCAAAAAGATGAATACACAGCTCTTTGTTTTGGCTTAACACTCACAGAAAGCTAATCAAGAAAAGGACACATTTTTACAGGAGCAGGAAATTACATTTGAAAGGCAAGAGCAGTTTTCAACACCTTTGGAATCTCACTTCCAGAAAGGTCACATACCTCAGAGTATAGGATCCCCATGCCGGCCCTTCGCAGATTGGTGTCACCCTTACCGCTTCTGGAATCTTCTGAAAGTATTTCTGATTAACATAAAATCCTTCCCTGCCAAGAGAAAGGTCCCTAGAAGCTGAGGCTGGTGGCACGTCCTTTCTTCCCACACTTGTGGAATGCTCTTCCAATAACACAGGCAGCAACACACCTACTAGAGAGCCCAGCCCAACGCAGCACGGGCATTGGTTTACAGCGCAATGACCTAAGTGTGCATCATCTAAAGTTACAAGCCCGAGGAACCAGTTTCTGAGTCACATTTGCTCTGCCAGTAGTGATATGTGGAGAGAAGGGAGCAAAGTCAAGGGGAAAGGGAAGTTCCCAGCCTCACAGGAAGGACTCAGGGTTCAAAATAGGGCACGGTAGTTAAGACATTTCCTAATTGAAATCTGGTTTTCAGTGGCTATTGAGAAAGGCTAGGGATGAGCAGACTTGCTTGTTAGAACCACGTATATCTACCCTGGACTTGACTTTCATGAAAAATAATCCTCAAGGGGCACTTGAGCGGTTCAGTCATTTAGGCAGCCAACTCTTGATTTTGGCTCAGGGCATGATCTCAGGGTCCTGAGATCGAGCCCACTGTCAGGCTCCATACTCAGCATGGATTTGCTCAAGATCGTCTCCTTCTTTTTTTTTTTTTTTAAGATTTTATTTATTTATTTGACAGAGATCACAAGTAGGCAGAGAGGCAGGCAGAGAGAGAGAGGTGGAAGCAGGCCCCCCAACAAGCAGAGAGCCTGATGCGGGGCTCTATCCCAGGACCCTGGGATCATGACCTGAGCCGAAGGCAGAGGCTTTAACCCACTGAGCCACCCAGGTGCCCCAAGATCACCTCCGTCTCCCTCTGCCTCCCCATCCTGCTCAAAAAAAAGAAAAGGGGGGGGGATAGAAAAATAATCTTCAAAACTGTCATTATGGATTTTTGCTATCCCTTTTTTTAAAGGTTTTATTTATTGATTTGACAGAGAGAGACACAGCGAGAGGGGGAACACAAGCAGGTGGAGTGGGAGAGGGAGAAGCAGACTCCCTGCTGAGCAAAGAGCCCAATGCGAGACTCGATTCCAGGACCCCAGGATCATGACACAACTGAAGGCAGACACCTAACGACTGAGCCACCCAGGTGTCCTGGATTACTTGCTATCCTTAAGCATGGATAAAGTCATTTGTTTCTCCTTGATGGTCCTGATTAATATAAATAAATTAAATAATAGATGAAGTTTTTAAGCCATATTATTTTATAGACATAAATGTGTTCACTTGCAAGGGCATTTTGAATAAATCTTGAGCAATTCAAGTTGAAAAAACTCAGATCTTTGAAGATTTCAGTCCCATTTATATCCTAGGTAATTAAATTATCCTTCAATGTTTAAATTATACTTATAATATCACTATATTTAATTTTCTTTCATAAGTACTTTAATTCTGAACCTAACAAGTAATACTTCCCCAGCGACATGGTCTCATATATCTAATAAACTTATTAACATAATAAAATTAGTTGTCTTAAAAGTTCTAATATAAATTCAGCCAAATTCTTTTATAATATTCAATTTTAACATTGTAAGTCTGAGATCAGTTGCCCCATTACATGTTTTAAACGGAATCACCAGGCCACTTGGTCAAACACGGTAATACAGCAAATCTCTTCAACATTCTAAACGTTTTATATAATAAATATAATGCCAACCATTCACACATTATCTCTGAACACAATCACAGCTAAGTATGGAAATTTTCCAGAATTAGAAAATCCACACACACCCATGAAAGAACCAGTTTCAATCATCCCAAGCAAACTGGTGTGATATTTCCAGTCTCTGAAGTTTTTTCAGTGGCCAAGAATAAGGGGCCAGGATCCAAGACCTGAGCCTACGTATATTCAGGGAACTTCTTCCTACTCTCCTGATGGACATCATGAGCTATTTTTATAAGCTTTATAACAAGAATTACATACTTTACCTTGGACTTGGCTTTCGGACCAACCTCCCAGGAGTTAAGAATTAACAAATTCTTCTGTTGAAGATGGGAGTCTTCAGTAACCACCAACGTAGCAGCTGACTTTCCTTTTGGCTTGGTTTGATTTTGCGTTTCTTAAAACACTTAAGACATTTGAGTATCTTTCCCTTTGACGTAAACATTAACGTTTTTTCCACTGGGTGCTTCACGTTCTTAGGCAAGTCTTCTATAACCCCTTTCAGCTTCTTTATAACCTCTTTCAACAAATTACTGGCTCCATAACTCTTCGCCCTCCCTGCCTCTCTAAGGCTGCTGCTGGCTTCCTTCTCCAAGCTCCTTCCTCCCTGATCCAGAGGATTCTTCAACTTCCTGTCAGGACCAAAACTCACCTAATTGGATTCCGTGTCTCTCTCTTGACTTCATCTAGAAAGGTAGCAAAACACACCACCCTAACATATGCCTCTTGGACATAAGGATTGTTTTGATACAGTTGTTTCTGAAAACCTTCAGACACACAAGAGAATCTCTGAAAACAGAGAAGTTACTTTTTTGTAAAGGACATTTACATATATAAAAGAAATTTCCCAGTTACTAAGGTGCCTTCCTGGGGAAGAGGAGGTTGATTCTAAATCTCCATTGGAGATTAGTTCTCCGATTAATGGAGAAAGCAATGACTTAAATCTGTGGGACAACTGATGCTGTTTATTGTGCTTTTCCTGGTAGTGTCCCCGTAACTGCCCCTCCCCCATCTTCCATTTTCTTTAGCTGGAGATGATGGTTAAGGTGTTGGTTTGGGCCATTTCAAGGGATTTTACTCAGTTTTCCTGGGTGTCCTTTGTGTACACATGAGGTACACACGGTATTCCCTGCGGTTTGTTTTTCTCTTGTTAATCCGTCTTTTGTGACGAGGGTTCTCAACCACAGAAACTAGAAGGGTAGGGGAAAGATTCCTTTTCCTTCCCTACAATCTGGTTCTAAAGGCACAATACTCACTATAATTATGGTAGACGAACTGTTTGGATGTAGGGTTGAACCTGAAAAACAAACCAATAAAAAAGCAATTGACTCACTGCAATTGGTAAAAACACCCCAGGCCACTGAGTCTCAAACAGCAATGATCTGGCCTGCAGGTAGAACTCCCAGATTTAGCAAACAAAAATACAGGATGTTTAGTTAAATTTGAATTTTAGATAAATTTCTGAAATACCGCACGGGGAATGCTTCTACTGAACAATTATGTTGTTTAACTTAAAATTAAACGGGTGCCTGGGTGGCTCAGTCCTTTAAGTGTCTGTCTTCAGCTCAGGTCATGATCTCAGGGTCCTGGGATGGAGCTCTGAGTCTGGCTCCCTGCTCCATCAGGAGTCTGCTTCTCCCTGCCCCTCACCCTGCGCTCTTGTGCTCTTTCTTTCTCTCTCCCTCTCCCATAAATAAATAAAGAAAATCTTCCCCCACAAAAAATAAATAAATAAATAAAGCCATTGCTCTAGCCATTGTGTGGAAAGTGGAGTTGAGGCAGGCAGGAGAAAAAACAGAAAGACCAGTTAAGAGGTTACGGAGATAATCGTAGGGAACTCAGGAGAGCAGCAGTGGGGACAGAGAAGAGGAGGTAGGAGGTAGAAATAAGGGGCATTTTGTTGAAAATGCATTGTTAGGCTGTGTTGAAATAAACTTCTATGCCCAAGATGGGCCACACTTGCCCAGAATGTCACATCAGCAAACCAAAACTGAGAGAACTTTCCTGTTCCTGTAAATGCTCCATTTTACCAAAAAAGAGGCATTTCCAGCCACCCCATAGCCAACTGCCAAGAATCTGTGTTAATATCATAGTTCTAAACAAGGTCAAATTGTCAACCCTGGCCAATCAGCTTAAACCAAAGACATTTACCTTATTCCCTGACTGACTTGCTAGCCGGGGAGTGTCCTGTGTCCATATCACTGCTTCTAATGCTCAATAAAACTTGCCTCTGCCCCACTTCCCTTGAGAAGAGTGTCCCAGTTCTCCTGCGGCGCCGTACTCCCCCAGTCCAAAGGATATCAAACTAAATTGTTTTATTCTTGTCATTTGACGACCATTTCCTCCTGGCACCAAAAGCACGTCCCTGCACGTTGATCTGTGACACTCACACGAGCTCTCTGTCAATTACACTTCTCTCTGCCCCACTGGCCTCCAGTTAGATTTCCCCCATAGGGAGCACTCCAGGAAGACACAAGACGAAGGAGGCAGAAAGAGAGCTGCTCATTCCTATGTGTTTGCTGATCCCATCCGCTTAAGCCCAGCAATAGCCCTTCATCCTGGAAATAGCCACAGGTCTGGCTTTTCCCTGCGCTGCCTGGAAGAGCAGAATTGAGCCCTTCAGAGGTACCGACTCCCACCACCCCCTCCTCCAGCCCAACGAGGTGCGGCTCCTCCCCTGAGCTCCCACAGCAGCAAGCAGACCATGGTCCCTCCTCACTGCCTGGGTCCCCAGCATTTCAGGGTCCTTCCCTGCACTCCTACATTCTGGTAACCCCAACCTCTGGTCCTCATTCCCCCAGTCCAAGAGGTGGTGGCTGCTTCTGCCATTTTGTTGTAACAGTGTAACAAAGTGTTACTCCCTCTGCCTGTTCAGCCCTGCAAGACCCACTTTATTAATTCCTTATACTAAATTCTTTCAGTTAAAATAACTGTGGTTGGGCACCTGAGTGGCTCCATTTGTTAAGTATCTGATCCTTGATTTCAGCTCAGGTCACAATCTCAGGGTCGTGGGATCGAGCCCTGCCTCTGGCTCCGTGCTGGGCGTGGAGCTTGCTTAAGATTCACTCTCTCCCTCTCCTTCAGCCCCCCCCAACCCCACTTGCCCTGGCTTTCTCTCAAATAAATAAATACATAAATACAGATAAAAATGAAAAATAAAAAAGTAAGTTGTATGGTTTTCCTTACTGGGCTCTAGCTGATGTAGTACCCTGGAGATGTGTAGAAGCTACAGATGAGTGACATTCAGAATCCCAGATCAAGGAAGGCATGCACATTTCCAGCTTCACTGTATAGGGTTATTTCTTTTTTAAATAGCATAACAACTTTTTCTTTTCCTTTTAGCACCCTTAAAGGTGAACAATGGCTATCCAATCAAATAAGCACTTTTGCTCACCAGAATGTTTGTGTTTCTGAGTGTTATGCATTGGAGTCCCGCCATCTCTTTCTACAATTCTCCTGCTTGTGAAAGCTTTTTAGGTCGCTTGTTCACTTAAAATAAAGTCCTGGATTCTGAGGCCAAATTGCATTAACTGTTGTTCTGTACTAAGATACAGGGTCCTTCCTCCAAGACTTAAAAAAAAAATCTTTTCAAATTTGAAATCAGTCTTGAATTTTCCAGAAAGAGGTTTATGATAATGGAAAAGGAAATGGGGTCAGCCATCCCTGAAAATTGAAAAAAAAAAATTGACATTTTAAGTTTAAATTTGAAGTAGGTCACTTCATTGCTTAACACTTATGCCACACATAATTCCTCAGTGGCTTCTACTTCTATGTCACCCTCCGTAATGTACTCCCAGAATCAGTTACTATCATGTGCTGTAATGGAAACATCAAGAGTAAATACCATGCTCTTGCTCCCACCGTCATTGGAATGCTGTGATTTTCTAGATAACTTCACATATCTGAGATGAGAGTTTGTTTTTATTTCTTGGTAAAAGCAGAAAAGAAGCTAAAAAGTCACTATATCACTGACGAATCTGTTACGTTGGATGACTGTTACGGGATTAAAACACCTACTTCGGCAAACCGTCCACTATTCCTCCAGGGACGGGGGAACCTGCTGGAAGAATTAAATTATAAGGCTTTTGCCATTTTGCAGTAAAACCAGTTTTTAAATAAAAACAGTGGGACACAAGCTATACTCTTTAGGGTGTGGGTTTACTACTTGGTCCTGGGGCAGAAGACGTTACCTACTTTTTTTTACCTACTTTATTTACACTTCGAACTGCAATTTTCTCTCACTCTTGGTGCCTTTTGGGGCTTGACAAAGAGAGAAGTTATGTCTACTTTCTCGTGGAGCCTTAACGTTCATCCTATTACGTTCTCTTCTGAGGTTATGAAATGCAATCTCAATTTCTTCTGGAGTTTTGTTTGTTTTGTTCTATATCCTAATAAAGGGTTGCTTTCTGGACTTTTAGTTTTGTTTTTTTGAATTCAGCTGTTATTAAGGTCAGGCCTGTCAGACTGGTAGTGGGCCCAGATTCTGAGCTTTCTTCTTTAGAGCTTGACCTATTCCCCCCAGTCCTTGGTAAAGCCCAGAGCTTTTTGGCCAACCATTTCTCATAGAATAAGGCAGGGTCCCAAGGTCATTGTCTCATGTATCATTCTTTTAATTCAAGGCATTCCTTCTTTCTCCCTGTCGATCGTGAATCCACCAAACTAGTGAACCCGAGACATTCCATTATGTTGCCATTTTAATATTGCTTTGAAAGCATGAAGAATGGCACCTCTAAAAGGCTGAAAAACCATAGCTTAGCATTTGGGGACAACCATTCCAGAAGGCTCTCAGCATGCTGCCTGATGGAAGTTTTTGTCTATGTTCTCAGCCTCTCTTTCCCTTTTCTCAGTTTGCATTTACTCTCACAATCATGTTATGAGGCGGCTGTGTGGTGCACAGCTTAAACCGACTAATGAAACGGATGCATAGGCATTCCACGGGCCATTTAGAATATAAGAAACATCTCACATCCTTACTTTTTCAATCAGATTGTAAGTGGGTGGAGCCCACTCTCCGAGGCTTTGAAGAAATCCAAGATTGCTCAAGTTCCCTGGGCTTTCACTCTCTCCTGGGATATACCAGAACCCTGGGGATCTTGGCACACGTGGCTCTATGCAAATGAGCTAGGATGGTTAATAGCCTCCTCCTTGTCATTATTCCATAATGTGCCTACAAAAGTCTTGACAGCTTGCTAAAATGTTAATTCCCCACACTCACACCAGAATATGTGAGGACCTGGGGAACGATGTGCTCATAAACATTCCAGATGATTCTGAAGCTGGTGTCCATGGCCACTTGTGATTTTTTATCTTTCTGATCTAGAAGCTTGGACAG